GTACCGTACAACTTGCGTTCGCCTCGTAACGTTGTGCTGATTTTAATATGTGACAATCAAGCCTTTCTCACTTTTGCTTCTCATATCATCAATTCTCACTGAACATTGGATCTACCCACTTTTCTTCTGTTATATTTTCTTTTCGTACTACACTACTGAAACGCGTGAGTTATGACAAGCATCGCTTGAATACCCACATTTCGTCCAACGAGAGCACATCGAATATTTGGCTAAACTTGTAGACTCCTGTTGTTCGCGCATCAACGCAGCCATCACTTTCACGTTTCACTCTGATTTGATCTAAGCTGCTTAAATATGCACGTTGTAGTATTTAAGATTCCCTAATAAAAAGATCATGAGGGTACTGAGAATGAACCTATGTTTAGTTGATCGATAATGCGAGTTCATTAAACATAATACCACGTTGTGGTGACGTTGACGAAGGCACCAGCTGGTGGGTTCAAAAAGGAACCTTTTGTTTGGGTGAACCTGTGCTCACCAAACGACAAGACACACTACCTGCTGTATACTGTATACTGATAGCGGCTAACAAAGTGTCGTCCTTCGGTAATCTGGTGTTTGTTGAGTTTCTTCAGCACTTATGTGCCTAGGAACATTTTATTCTTATTGCTTCCTCACGGAATGATCTTCAACAGTCGCGAAGCTGCGGAAACAATGCGGCACCTTGCGACAAAGATTTTTAATGGTTTTTGGGGCTGAAACTTAAAGGGCCTCTGCAACACTTTTGGGACAGCCTTATTGAGTAGCGGAACGCGTATAGCGATGATTACTGAGGCGATTGCATTAAGAATGATTGAAAGTGGTGCACGCAATGTGAAGTTATGAGTCCTCAAATTTGAAGACTCGAGCAGGCAACGATGAGAAACTTTTTCTGCCTTTCACTCGCCTGCTGAAGTCAAAGACTGCTTCGAATCACAGCGCGCGTCTCATAAAGACATTCCGGAAATATGACCTCAGTGTGGCTTTCACACAATATCTCGCTACCGCTCTTTTTGACGGCGTCGTTAGCATATTTGCTATGAATCACGTGTGTCGGGTAGCAGACGCTCCCATGGTCACGCTGTATAAGATACATATACGCTTCGGGCGGGGTTTCTTCTCGGCTTGCATGCAAGACGCGTTCCACGGCAACGCCGGCGTCTACCACCTGTCGCATTTTTGGCTCACTAAAAACGCGGTATGCGTTTCCGCGTTTACTTGCAGGCGTACCATAGCCGCATTCGCAGGCTTTGTGTTGTGTCCATTCTTCTGAAAGTACATTATTTAGAAACAGCAATTGTTTCTTTCTGAGAAAGTATATGTAAAGTTTATGATGTTTTTAGGGTTCTCTCGTATTGCCTAGCTACCGTCATATAAATATTGCAAGCAATCGCCGAGGTCAGGCCAATCAAAAGCGAATGGTGTTTGTTGTCACATCAATGCCAAGACGTCACTACCTATAAAATATAGCCGATGTGTGTCGCCGTAGTCTGAAATCGAGATAGTTTGTTTGGTGAATCGAAATTATAACTGCGTCGATTTTGGTGTTGCCATGTGCGCAACAGTACCGGCGCGTTCCACTGCACCAGAAGAACCAATAAAAAATACATGCTCAAGAAGTGTCGCAGGGTTCCTTTAAACAAATTAAAATGAAGTTCATAAACATGCTTGGCTATATCCTGCAAGATGTTCACAGTGCCGATGAAGAGGCATGAGACATTAAATGAATGAATGAATGAATCTATCTATCTATCTATCTATCTATCTATCTATCTATCTATCTATCTATCTATCTATCTATCTATCTATCTATCTATCTATCTATCTATCTATCTATCTATCTATCTATCTATCTATCTGTTCGTATATCCTACTACGTATGGTGCCGTCGACATTGCCCGCTTAACTTAATATTGCCCAAAGTGGCATAATACGAATTGAAGGTATGGCGAACATGACTGTCTGATTCATATGTAAAGAACGTAAAAATTTCGCAGTGCTCGTCGTTGACAGAACAATATAACACTAAAGGTCAATAACAATTCATGTCAGAGTAAAACCTTACTGTATGACAACTTCTAAAATTGCAATGTTATCAACAGTAGCGCCCTACTTATTGTGAAATCAAGCTAAATGTGTCTCACAACGTGTGACACGATTGGTACATTTTATTGCGATAGCTATTGTAAAGGCACTCTCAGTTAGATTGTGTCACCAGCTTCACCTTCGCTCTCGGTATATGAACACGTATCTTCATATAAGTAAATGCAAGAATGTAAAATAAATCCGAAAAAGGCTCCGCCACGCACAATCGAAATTGGGACCTCTGAATCTCGAGAGCGAAGCGTTATCGACTGAGTCACCAAGGATCACGTCCTTGAACATTCAAACGGCAAGCTATTTATATCTACAACTTACCGCTAGTGACGGGCATGTCGGAGGGGGTCTATTGTTTTTTTAGCATTACCAGCAAGATAGCGCAATGAGCGCGTGTTGCCTAAAGTACCACATCGTCCCGACGAGGCAGCCAGAGCTCGCACCTCCCTCGCGCTATTCGCCCCGTGGATAGCAGGAGGTTGACGCCCTTATATCATGGTGGGGAAAATCGTACGTCTTGGGTGGCCTTCGACTTCGACTCGAACGTTTCCGTTGTAGTTACCGGGTGCACAAACGTCACTGTGATTGCTGCATAGTCTCCGTTTTCGAAAAAAACGCTCTTTTCAAACACATGAAGTAACAACGGAGATGTTTTTCGCGTTCATCTGTACCTGAGAGCATGTTTCGTGCGTCATTTATGCATGAGAAACGCTGGACACATTTAGATCTGCTGGCCATTTTGCGCGTGACAATCCAATTGGCTGATATCACGTTTATTGCTTTGCCTTTGCGGCCAAGCTGTGACTTTCTTTTTTAAGTGATCCCGTTGACGTGAAGCATCTAACTACAATAAATCTCTAGTAATCAAACTAGCTGCAAAAACAACAATAAACCTTCCATTTATAAAAGGCTCAATAGGAGCCTGCTTTACCATTACTTTTTGATCTATAGAAAAAAATCATCTGGCATCGAGTGCTTCAAAAGGTTTGTTTTGGCCGGGTTAGGCGGTAGAGCTCATGCCTTCTAGCGGGGTCCAGTTAACCAAGCAAACAAAAAAGGGTTCAATAGCCGTTGTTGCTACTGTGGCTTCTGCTACTTTCGCTTTGCTGATACTGTCAGGGGCCGCGTAGTAAAGGCGGGTATCTTTAAGCATGGCAAGAGTGACGTTAACATGCCCGCTTTCATACGGATGATTTGAAGTGCGCTAACGTGATGCAGAGAATTAAAACATCAGCTATTTTAAAAAGCATTTCTTTGACTCTAAAGTAGCACTGCGGTTTCGGCACGGCTATTTCAACAATCAACGTCGGCTTAGCATTTACTTTAGTTTCCCCTCATGTACATTCCTCCAGTCAAGTGTGGCACACATCCGAATATCACTAGCCGTGTTATATGGGATCACGCCACCGGTCATATACGGCTCGTAATTACTCCCGAAGAGTGAAACAGTCATTTATTACTTCAAATGCGAGATAATGAAAAAACGGCGGCTGAAACAGCGTTGTTAACACGAAGCTAAAAAATCAATATACTTGGGATGATAGCAGGAATCGAACCCAGGCATTCTATGTGGCTGGTAACTATGCAACTTCAAGAGATATGCCAGGTCCTGAAACTACACAGGAGAGAAAAACAGCACTCAAAATCTTGACAAACACACATGAAGACGGATGTCGACAACGCTAGTCGTCGTCCATCTTTCTGCGTTTTTGTCAAAATTTTCAGCGTTGTTTTTCTTCCTTTGCATTATGTAGGTACTCGTCCAAGTCTTGATCATGAAACTGGTTTGTCCTGTGCAGGCATGAAGTGAGCGCAATATCACATATAGTTGCAGTGCTGGCTATCGCATTTTATGACAAGGTGACCTTGGCATATGTATTCATTTGTTTATATGGGTATAGCGCACCACGACAAGGACACAAAAAGAGACACACACACGTAGTGCTGTGTGTGTGTGTCTCTCTCTTTTTGTGTGTTTGTCGTGGTGCGCTATATCCATATAAAGGATGAATTCGAATCAACTAGCCCGGCAATGCGCCTTACCAAGTATTCATATGGCTGCGCAAGACACATTTCAGCGTGAATAGACCATCGAGCAATGGCTAACAATTTATATATGTGTGATAATTACGTCATTGCATCGTATTGCGTGCCCTTCGTTTCGATAAATTGTTTCGATAAAAGCCTGTGCTGTAACACGACAGCTGACGTTACGTCTGACCCTAAGTTACTCTTCAGTCGCCAGTGTAGCCGGCGTGCCTGGTATACCACGGATGTGTTTCCCACCTACTTCTTTTACTAAAACACATATAATCACCTCTTAACATTGGCTCAAATGAAAGGTAGCATAAGCAGCTGCTATGTGAGTGCTTCATACGAATTTATACAGCGTGCGAATCCGCCGATATTTCATTGTTAATATGTCAATTATTGCCCACATCAAAGGTTGAACGTTTACTATGATTCCACAAATGTAGAACTTCCGACAATGCCCTTGCCCCATCCCCGGCATATTACAAATTGCTAAAAAATGAGGGTTTCAACGTTATCACAGCTTGTAATGTACGCGTCCAGGTCTGTGTAGAGCGTGCGAGCCACCGGCTTTTGTAGGGTTTGCTCTGCCGTCCCTGAAATTTGCAGCGTGAATATTTAGCCGCACTTGCTCATAACACATCCCAACAGAGCCCGAAACTATCGCAACATCCCGCCCCGCAAAGCGAAAACCGGGTGCTCGCACGCTCTACACAGACGTGGACATGGCTGTGCATGAGCCATATTTTATCAACTGTTTCTAGAAGTGAAGAAGAAACAATTGAAATGCTACATTAAAGTTTACACCATATGTAACAACGCAATGCACAATTCACTCATTTCATGATAAAAGTCATGTTTGACGACCTTACCTGACCAAAGTGAGAAGCGTGAATACGCTCCCTGGAGGCGTGTAACATCAACATAATCAACGGATAATGTATAAGGTACACGCAGAAGGACAGCCTGCTTAGAGGTGCAAAGAAGCTCGATGATAGAAATCGACCGACGAACCCTGCAAAAAGAATATTTCAAATAAAGCAGAACTCTTAGTACTTCATCGTAATCACAGTGCAGTGCTGATGATTATTCCAGGTAAATCAAATACTGTCTGGAAGTGCTGATATTGTAATACTTCACACCCTCTTTGTTGAAAGGAAGGGCATAATGAGGTAATAATCGCTAAGTAAAAACAGCCGAAGAAGACGAAGACACTAAAACACAATGCACTTACAAGTGCGGAATTTACAAATGAAATACTCAATGCAATGACTGCTCTTATTACATCGCACAAAACTGCGCACACTATTCCTGTCGACTCGCCAAACAAACCCGCCGAAAACAATGTACCAACGCGCCCAATTCAAAGTCCGGCTCGAGGTAATATTAACTTGGAGTTTACTTCCCAAAACCACACTATGAATATGAGAAATGCCATAGTGAAGGCTTCCTAATGCTTTGGCCATATGTTGCTTTTTAACGTGCAATGACATCACACAGTACACGGGCGTGTACTATTAGGCTGATCATCATCGTCATCATTAGCCTGGCTACGTCCACTTAACAAAGTCCTCTCCTATGTTCTGCCAGTTAACCTGGTCCTGTGCTTGCTGCTGCCAATTTATACCCGCAAACTTCTTAATATCATCTGCCCACCTAACCTTCTGTCTCCCCCTAACCCGCTTGCCTTCTCTGGGAATCCAGTTAGTTACCCTTAATGGCCAGTGGTTATCCTGTCTAAGCGCTATATGCCCGGCCCATGTCCATTTCTTCTTCTTGATTTCAACTATGATATCCTTGACCCACGTTTGTTCCCTAATCCACTCTGCTCTCTTCTTGCCTCTTAATGTTACACCTCCCATTTTTTTTCCATTGCTCACTGCGTCATCCTCAATTTAAGCTGAACCCTCTTTGTAAGTCTTCAAGTTTCTGCTCCATAGCTAAGTACCGGCAAGGTACAGCTGTTATATACCTTCCTCTTGAAGGATAGTGCTATCTACCTGTCATAATTTGAGAGTACTTGCCAAATGTGCTCCACCCCATTCCTATTCTTCTAGTTACTTCAATCTCGTGGTTCGGCTCCGCGTTTATTACCTGCCCTAAGTAGACAAAGTATGTTACTATTTTGCTATCGAAGTATAATTATCACTTCTCGATCACAATATCGCACCACTTGTTTTATATGCTGCTGCTCTTGCCCAAGTCGTATACACAGATGTGGACAGCTATGAGTTTGTATGTGGATATTTCATCACCTTGTTTTGTTCATTTTCGGTGGTTTCGACGCAGAGAACTTCAAAAGGAAGAAGTAGTCAGCGTGGTATTAGCCCTTGGGAGGGCTATTAGGAGATACGCCATCCTCTTCCGAGAGTTTCTACAGCCAATGTTAAAGTTGACTTTTCATGAACAATCATTTTATAGGGAGAATTAGCGTCTTCCTGAATTGAGAACATAATTTACACGAGCCATGAAGCGAAACTTGGCAGTCTATGTGCCGTGTAAACAGTAGTACAGAGGTAGGTAGGTGGCGTCTCTCATAATCATATAGTGGTCTTGGGACGTTAAACCCCACATATCAATCAGTAGTACAGAGGTAGTAATTTGACGATAGAAAAGATGATTCTAGCTGGAACTTGAGAGGCAGCCCGGCGAAGCGTCATTGGGTGACAAGCAAAAAAGAGAGGACACCTTCTAGAGTAATAAGTTCCCACAATGCTGAGTTCCAAGTCGAGATACCCCCTCTTCAGGAGAGAAACTGGCCTGAGGCACTGGGAATCGCACTCATTACTTCGGAGTAGGACTCTTTTTCTCGAGTATCGTATCACTTATTCGGTCGCACTTATGAATTCGTCCTGACCGTTTTTATCAGTGCTCTTATAGGCAGATGTTCATAAATAAACTAGCGAATTTGTTCTCGCAAAGAGACAACCTTCATGTTAGAAGAAAAAACCTAGACTCTTCTCGTACACGCATCGCGATTCCAAAGTGACTGAAGGGTGCAACAGTTTCCTGTTACTTTTTGGTCATGCTATGAAATTCAGCAGGTGGTATACTTTTGCAACGCGAAAATTTGCAAGTTTTACGCCAATGAACTAAGAGATGCTTCAAAGAGATGCTTCGAGAAAGTATGTATTGTTTCTTGTAAATGAATATTTTTAACGCCTCATGCGAACGCTCTTTTCATTGTATGTCTTTTTCAAAGATATTCAGACTTTAGTATTGCAACCACAACACGCACTAAAGTCAATAAGTGCATTTAGCGGCACAAAGTGACGATGACTGATGCTAAAGGCTGATGATAACCATGTATGATTGACATGGCTTAACACTTATGCGATTCTACGCCTGTGCTCCGCAATACAGTCCTATCTGAATATAACGACCACAAGTAAAATATCTTTTCATTTATTTAACAGTATTTTCAAACCAAATAATTTTCGACGTTCCTGCATAGCAATATCCAATGTTCATTGAACAAAAATACTCACTCAGAACACTTTGTATAACGGACATCAAGCAGTAGAGAGAACCTCAAGAAGTTTTCTTTGCCTCAAAATATGGCAGGGTTTTTAATGATGATGACGATGATGTTGTCAGTGGTCTTCCCCTTTTATTGGGGTGTGTGTGGGGGGCTCTTTTAGGGTAATGAACTGGAGGTTAACTAAATAAACAGAAAGAAGAAAATTCACAACAGGTAATTAACATTAGAATTGTTCGCTGTCTCCCTGAACACCATCTGAAACGCCGTGCTCTTGTTATGGATGTCACTGCCAGGGGGTGGCAAATCGGTATCGCGGCTGCCACCTCCACCCGATGCGCCGAATATTTGCATAAAGCCCAGCGATTCAGGTAGTGTGGTACAATCTGTCTGACGAGGACACAGGCGTTCATCGTAAACAGCAATGTGCTTATTGTTCACCTCGTCTTTCTCGCATGCCCTGCACTGGAAAGTGTCGTCATCCAGTGACGGGTCGAAGTGGCGTCGATACACTGAAGTGCGGGCAGCTCAAACACGAGCTTCAAAAAAAGAGGGCGCACTGCCGACGCTATTCTCATACGGTTGTTCTGCAGAGATAGTGGTCTTATGTGCTCTGTGAAAAGCCAAGCTAGGTTTCATCTCCATAGTCGCCTGCCACATCGACATCTTTGCGTTCACTCTGCATCAAACTCCTACAACCCATTTTCTCTCACTGTTTTGGACCAAGTCTGTAGAAAAGGAGAACTGGTGGCACAGATATTGGAGACGCTTGTGCGATGGTGTGCTTATACATTTGATGGTTAAAAATCTAAATATTCGACGGATCCGCCTTTCGTTGTCTAGCGAAATGAGCCTTTGCCGCATGCTTGTTTAAGAGTACTGGTGTATTAGGAAAGTGAGCGACGGAGCGTGTGGAAACTACCAGTCACCACCCACCACGTGTCTACAACTTGTTTTCACGCATCGGCTAGCAGTGCTCTGTTGCTGTTCGTTTCTTCGCGATTCTTCGCTCTCTTTGCATGAAAATGGCTGCCGCGATATGGAATAATCTGCTGTTCTTTGCAAAGTTGGCGGTAATTCCTACACCTGAACAGGCAGAAAAGCTTTCTGGCATCGTGACGTAACCACTGTGTGCAGCATCCCTATAAGCAGGCTCAGTACGACATTGAAAAAAAAAAACATGATCGAAAGGAATTAGAGATAATAGTCCAGAGACTAGAGGCTACGGTCAATGTGGACTAGTCTGTGGTCTAGATTAGGGACATGAGATTAGGGCCAATACGGACTACAGACTTCCCGCTACAAACGAGTGCGCACAGCTGTATAAGAGGATGGGGAGGTAATGTTTACATCGATACCGAATTTTCTCGCCAATGGGTCGCATCTACCGCGTAATAAGCACCACAACATACACAATTTTCTAAAAAAATTAACCATCTCATGCTAAAGGGAATCAAGTGTGAATGCGAAGCAACGGATACTAACGCTTACACTGGCGCCGGCATTGACGCTAGCACTCATCATGGCGTTCTACAGGACAGAAAACTTGGGAGGTACAAAGCACGCAGTTGTGGACAAGTGTTTCCTACTGTAGCATGTAAATCGCTGCTAATGGGCAAGACAAAGAGAAGAGTCGAACTGGACACAGATACCCGCAGTCCGCTTTTAGTTAACGAAGATACGGCGAATCGGCACTACCTTGGAGGTCAAAATCCCGTGCCTATATATATATATGGGGTGGTCAGTGAATGCGTGAGCAGTACGCTTTGCTCAATCAATGAACTCGCTGACAGACCCTGCCTGCCTAGGCATTGTGAGGTGAGAGAGGGAAGCTGGCAGGCGCTGCCTGCGCCAGTTTGCGAAGCGAGAGAGGGGAAGAGATGCGCACGCATAGTGGGGGTGTACATACCGTCCGTGCGTAGGCATGCCTAGAGGGATGAGCGAGCGTAAGACCCACAGACGCTGCTTGCATTGGTGTTGCAAGGTAAGAGAAGAGGTAGCAGAGGAGAGGAGAAAGGGTGGATGGGAGTCGCATGCGCAGTGCAGCGTGAATACCAACGAATCGAGTGAGCTGAGACGATGCTTGAAATCTAAAGAAAGAAAAAAAAAACTCCCTCTTCTACTAACATTATGAAATTATTTTGCAGCATTACCGTACACCAGTGCCGTGAAGCTAATTTGCACACCCGAATTTCCCCTGAAAATTTATTGAATTCCTTTAAATATTTTCATGGAACTCAATGGTATCTCGAACTAATTTTTGTTTCTTGCGAGTTTGATATATGCGGGCTTGAATGAAGTACATCTTTTAACGTCACTCTTCTGAAGTAACGCCTGCAGATGGTCCTCCAAAGCAGCTTCTGGTTCTGACATGACTCTGGGGTACAACATTTTCCCTGCCACGCAGAATTACTTGGTGTTATTCATCGCATCACCATAATTTATACTAAGGTCACGTGGGTTTTTGTGTAACACAACACGTCCTCTAGGTCAAACAAAACCTTTTGCTTTGTTAGGTACTGGTAATAGAAAATTTTAGAATAGGTGTCCCAAAACCTTTTGGTGTTTTGAAGGAGCAGTATTGAGGCCCCAGTGCATGAGTGAGACCCAAACAGAGTGTGTGCCTTTAATGTATACATTGGGTATGAAAACTCGGAAATGATGTAAACTTCAACCAAAAGTACATAAAGAAGCCCAACGTTTTGGAACTGCCTTGGTTCTTTGCTCAAAAGGGACTGGGGCTACGTAGCGGTGGCGTTTTCAAAGCACTCGTGGGGTGCCTAATGACCGCCCCCCTCACTTTCTTCTGTTTTGTCGTGAAGCGCAGTTCATGTGTATACAGTGGGGGGAAGGTATACACTGCGGAAACATCAACCACTCCCTTGGAACACTTCCCCAGTGTATACACATGTATTGCACTCCACGGCAAATTGGGAAAGAGAGAGGGGGGTCATTACCCACCCCGCGACTGCTTTCAAGACACCGCAGCTACGTAGCCCTCGTCCCCCCTGAGGAAGAAACCAAGTTGGTTCCGAAACGTCGGGTTCGTTAACGCAGTTTTGTTTGGAGTTTAAATCGTTTCCCAGTTTGAGCTTTACAATGGGGACGCTATTTTTCCGAATATAGTGGAATCCCTAAAGCTAACCCCACAATCTTTGTGTTAAACACACATGGTGCCACACACTGATGTCACGGCACTCAGTGCGCACTAATATGGATTCTAAACGTGGTGACGCATAAAATTTGCAAGTTTGTAGACTGAGCGCACTGCTTTTTTTCAACTAACATCTGTAATGGACTTAGGTTCATACGACACCATTGATTTTGAATTCAATTTCTTCTCTCGTAGGCGCTACATGGAAATCCTTGGGCTAGTCAAAAAGAACTCGTTTTTGAAGAAAAAAAAATGTCACCTTGAACAAGACACAATTGGTAAGCAGAAAACCTCATTTCAAAACTCCATGTTCTTGCGTTGCAATGATAAGACATGCATAATTCTTTAAGGCTTCAAACTTTTCGCGCCCCTATTAATGACTCTCTATGCTTGCAGTAGTAATTCTAACGTCACTGGCATAAATAGCTCAGAACTGTCAAGATGAATCCGTCGGCTCGGCTTATAAATCTGACCTAGAGATTACCCAAGCGCAGAGTCTTGTGCAAAAGCACACCTTCATTGCGAAGCAGCTCTTTGACTGGCCTGTGTAACGCTGTCCCTCTGTCCGCACCGCTCCCTTCACCGTAGGTGTTGGAGCGGTTCCGCGTAGCTCACGCCCACCCAGCAGTGCCGATAATGTATCTCTCTGTCGCCTACCATGCGCTCACCACAAGTCAGCTCTCTCTCGTTTCACCCTCTCCATCGCTCGCAACGCTGGAGCCCACTGTTTACGTTGGCATCATCTCACCCATGCCTCCTCTCTCCATCTGTCGGAGAGAAGAAGCCGTGCCAGCAGGTGCGTGTGCGGCGCGCGCCTCGAGAATCTCGGTGCTTGCCACACAATCGCGCCAACGCGTGGAACGCGGTCGCGGCCTGCTTCCTGCAAGTGTGCGCGTACTTTTTTTACGGTTGGGTTCGGCGTTGCGAGGATCAGCGAATCCGATCGCGTTAGCGAATGGCGATGTCAACGCGGGCGAGGTGGCAGCCAGAGCAGCAAAAGCAAGTGTCAGCAGTGAAAGGCAATGACACCGATGAGGTGCGAGTCAGGAACACCAATCGCGTTAGAGAATACGAACGGTGCGCGGGTAACACCGACTAGACAGGAGCCAAAGAAACCGAGCGTTAACGTCTTCAACGCGTATCGCCTCCCGCGTCTTCGCGTTTCAAACTAGAGCTTACTTGAGTAAATGCTACACTGAGTTTTGCATGAAACCATTCTTTCAGCACCCGTGTCGACGCCCGTTTCATCTGGGTCAACACCATGCGCACCACTGCTGCTTCGCCTCCCGTCACAGTTCCCTTCGGGAAGATGGTTCATAGTTATTTTCACAGCGCCTTCTAGCAGAATATTTTCTAGAGTGTTCTGTCTCTAGCTATTAATATACTGGGTGTTCACAGTAAAGCTTCGTGATTTTTTTAAAATTTCAGCACTTGGAAAAAGATGAAAACCATCTTTGCAGGTAACTTATGTATCCAGGGGGACACAAAGTCAGGCAATCATGAAGGCTGTCAGTGGCTCAAATAGCTATCATTTAATAATAAATTTTTGATAACTGCAGCAGGTTGGCATATTTGTATTGAAGAGTTGGAGGGAGTCGCGTTTCTACACAGTTACACTTGGAAGAATTATGCTAAGATGTCTGTACCCCAAGATATCCTACGGCAAACTCATGATTACGCATGCAAGATGGTCAGCACCAGGGCAAAGTCCCCCCCCCTCCCCCAATATGTCGCGGCAGTTGCGTGAGTCGTTTAATCTGACAGCGGATCGAAGACATTGGAAACCTAATAAGGGTTATACGTTTACTAAGCGGTGCCTGTTCGTCACATCGGCGAGCAACATTGCGCCGATCTTTACCTCCATGCTTGCGCAATCATGCAAAGCACAGGTAAAATTATCTGCAAGATACCTCGCAGCAAAGACATGCCAGGAGAATTCATCCAGGTATAACTGTGTAGAAACGTGCACTCCTTCAACTTTTAAATTCAAATAGGCCTACTTGCTGTGGCCAATAAGACAATAATTATTAAATCTTAGTTAACTGGGCCTTTGACAGCAATAAATATTGTCCATTCATTTCCTTCTCAGTATGTAAGTTACCTACAATGGTTGATTCTATTTTTTCCCAGTGCTAAATGTTTAGAGAAAACCATAAAGCTTAACTTTCAGCACCCGCTAGTTTGGTAATGAGCTTGGCAGACATGTAAACCTGACGTGACGACCAGGCGAAGATAGTCAATATAGCATTCAGATGGTGAGATATCAGTGCCTATAGGTGTAGCCTAGCTAACGACACAGTTGGCGCCGTAAATGTGAGGGCAAAATATAATTTGGCGGCATGACACAACGCAATATGAAAACAACGTTTCCAGAACACTTCCGCTGATTCCTCGGCTTGCTCGCTGTCGCTTGACGTGTATACTCCTTGCTGACTCCCTGAAACCTCTTGTTGTCTCTAAAAGCTGCAGATACATCGCCACGGGGCAGAGAACTAATTATTGCAAAATGACCATTCAACATTAGCAAAAATTATAGGCTGGTAAGATCCCTCAGAGAATCTCGTCATTTAAGGAAAACACGAACCCTAAGACAAGACATGCATACACCTTGACATTAGCATGCAGTTCTTTGAGCACAAGATTGAAAGGTATCTTGCTGTGTCCTTAGGGTCCAGTTAAATGGTACTTAATTTTAGTACTAGAACGTTCTCACCTCCTCGACCAGTTGCGCAAGCCAGCGTGAGCCATGACAGGAACAGCGACCAGAGCACACGATCGAAGAAGGCTACGACCAGTTTACCGGCTTCCGAATGGGTTTCATTCCTGTACCAGGGAATCTTCATGAAAGTTACGCAAAGCGCGCAGGTGACGGCCACACTCCAGCAGGTTACCCGCATCATCTGTTACAAGATATGCAACATGTTAATGAATGCATTATCAACTTGGCAGTTTGCAAGTGCAAAGGATAGCACTATATAATAAAAGTAAACAATGGGCTTCACACATTGCGACAACGCCGCAGATAGATATCGTTCATTCAACCTGCTGTGAACTCTGGGCGTACGCAAATCGAAAGGCTCCTACTAAATTATATCGTCAACGTCAAAGAAGATTGTGTCAGAACATTGAGAAGCCACTGTGAAACAATGCTGCGAATAAAAAAATAGCGCGCCTTCGTTGGGTCACAGCGGAGCTGGCGGGCCCCTAAGAGGTAATGGCTTACCTAGGCTTTTACCCTCTCATCTCTTACTTTACCACCCCTCAATATTCTACCTATACATGGCTATGCTTGCTCTTTTTCTTCTTTTTTTAACAGGGGAGCGTTTAAGCCAGCCGTAATTTGTGCAACGCGAATACTAGCCTCCAGCTGCTATGCACAACATCAACTAGCAAACCCCACTACCGAGAGCAGGTACTAGCATTAAACGAAAAAAACAACGTGAAAGAGTCAGAAAATGAAAAACAAAAATTAAAAAGAGAGCCAAAGAGAGAAACAAAATAGAGGTACAAAAAGAAAACAACACAAGAAAGAGAAGGAAAGGCAAAGGGAAAGAGAATAAACAAAAAGAATGAAGACATGAAAAGGTAGATAGGCAGAGTAAGAAATAGGCAGAGAGATAAATCGATGCAAAAAAGAGAGAGAAAAAAATAAACAGTGAGACAAATAGAAAGATAGAGAGATGTAGAAACAAGAAGAGTTGAAAAGGGGAAGAAACAGAAAGAAATAGGAAGAGGGAAAAATAAACAAAAACAAATACATACAAAAGATACCCCAGAGCTTTATGTTGGTATATATGAGTGTTGGTGTACTCGAAGCATGCCTTAATAATGCGTTACCTGTCGTTGTGTGAAGACTTGTGGTACTATGGCACTATTTATGGTGGAATGAAACTTAAGAAGTGACCAAATAACTAGAGCGCGGCACCCAATACCCTTAGAGAGTAAGGAAATACTCCCGATAATTCAATTAGGATTGTTCTCCGATGGTGTGTACTCAGTCGTTGGGCTCGTGAGGTCAATCAGGAGTGGCCACCTGCAGTGCAGGCTCGTGTGCTTGCGCCTTCTAGGTGACATCACAGAATTCTCCAGTTGTAACCGACTGTTTAAACGCACTGCAATGCGCTCCCCTCCCCGCAGGTATCGAAGTTGTGCCAAGCAGGTCACGCCGCAGCGGCGCTTTGAGGTAACGCTCCCATCGAAGTGAGCGCTGACGTCACTCTCTTTTTCGCCTGCCGTGTTCTCGCCGCAGCGACTGCAGCTGCCATATCATCCGCTTGGCCGCAACAATTGCCCCTACCACCGCTCGCTATACCGCCGGTTGTTGGTTCACACGCAATAAACCTGACGCGCCTAACGTACACGTTGAAACATGCCTGTACATGTCTCCTCTCTCTTGCCTCACCCTCTCCACCACTCGCATTGCTCCAGCGCATGCAGTGGGAACATTCTTTCAGCTCGTTTCTTTGCGATGGAAGGCTTGCCGGAAGACGATGCGCCTTTGCCCGCCGAAACATCCGCTGAAGCGGCTAGGCCTAAACCGGCCATCGCTCTGAGAAAAGACAAGGCCTAGGCCAGGCATCGCTTCAAACATTTCTTCCAGCGCTCGCCACAACACCCACGTTAGCACCGTTCAAGCGGTGATGCTACCAGAGCGCTACGCTGCTTCTTCCCACCCTATCAGGATTCTCTTTCGGAAGATGATGTGAATACTGTTATTGTTCTAAAAACACATGAATTTTACAACGGTTACTAGGTAATTTTTATTTCATATGAGCACAAAGTTGCTAAAATGTGCACCTTTATTAAAATTTATCGTGCTTAGAGTGTACTTTACGCCTCAGCTTTTTTTCTTCTGCTCTCACCGTCATCACCATCTTGAAGTTACTGTGCGCCCGCACTCACCTTTTGTTTTAAAAGTGGATCTACTTAAGCGCGAGGTTTGTTCGTGCAGAATGAACAAAAATTCTTTTCATCTCAATCCACCTGTAAATTTTAGCACGTTCCTCGGCTGCTGCCTGCTCCCAGCGTATTCTCCATCTTATAAACGCCCTCGTAAAGTTGTTTTCCAAGACTAATTTTTAATAAAAATTCTAATAAAGGCATGCAAATTAAAACGCATTAATATTTTATGCAAAGGAATACATTGCTAAAATTGTCTTTCAAGGCTAAAATTTGATAAAGATTGTAATAGGGGATGCAAATTAAAACGGTAGAAATAAATTTATGCAAATGATAACCTTGCTAAACAAAATTTCTAGTTGAAGCTAAGTTAAGTAAATGTTTACGAAATAACCATTCAGTGAATGTAGCCACGAAAATTCTTTCCCAATTCATATTCTCTTACGCTCCTCAGCCAAGCATTGCGGAGCCAAATTTACCAACAATTTAGTCAAGCTTGTAGACGCTGAAAAAAATTAGGTTGGCCACAAGCTCTGCGAATAGTTCAGCTTTGCACCAGCAGTGTAAGCTTCCAATATTTTCTTCATAGTGAGTTTTGCCGATTTTACCAACACTGAACAGAAGTTTGGTGCACTAAAATAGATAGGGGTGTGATGAAGTTTCAATATTTCTTATTACAAATCGAATGGTGTTTTTTTTCCCTTTTGGGTGCTCGAATCTGATATTGAACGCATATTTCGACACTCCCACAGTATTATCTGAAAAAAATCGGAGGAACAGAAAATATAACAAAGGCTAGTTTAACAAGGCCACTGTAGGACTCATGTTTTCGTTCTATGTCTGTAAAGCAGGTCGTATACAAAAAAAGAAAACGATCACATACCTTCGAAAGTTTGTGGTTCCTGAAGTCCTCCAAGAAACTGAAGGTTATGCAACCACTGAAGAAGCAGACGGCATGATAGAAAGGTCGAACGTAGTATGAATTTAAAGTTGTCAGTTGTAAGCTGCAAAATAATAAATTCTTTGGCTTGCACACGAGAAAGAGTTTTGAATGTCATCGTAAAAGCGGGAAAAAAAAGATATCAAAACTGCAGACTGTCTGCCGCTGCAGCGCATGAGTATCATTATGTGCGAGTAGAAAAAACGAAATGGACGGATTTGTCTGTTCGCTGCACACTTACTTGTCTAAACACGCTTACTTGTTTAAACAGCCTCGATGGCGGAATGTCGCCTTCCTAAATATAAATTTAACCTTGCGGCATCTGTAAGTTTTAAAGCAGCTTCGTACGTGCAGTCGTATCAGTGATTGTTTACTGAAGCACGCTAGTGTGGAAATATATTGGTCAAGATGAAAAATAGTAAAGGCCAGTTTTTTGTGATTTCACGCTGTGCAATGACAGTGTAAGCTTGATGAAAGCCTTTTTTGGAGCCCGCTGAAAGTTCTTCAAAGACGCTGCTTAGCAAATATAGCAGTATTGCACACAGGTTTATCTATATTATGGTGTAAGAATATCTGTGGTGAAAGAACGGCATGTAAGAAACGCTTCGTTAATGAAGGCGCATAATATTCTGGTTAAGAAAACCCTTTAGACTAGACACGGCCAAGTATCCCACGCTTGTCCCTGCGGCACCCCCCACCTTTTGCTGGGCCTACCATGCCCTGTTTTATTGCAATAGCAATCACAAGGACACTTTTTATATGATTTTTCAGTTGATGTTGCCGTCATGCTGCATATGAAGTACAAATCGATAATATCGCCACAAGCATCGTATACTCTATGGGCGCGCAATATCACGCAAGAACTGGGGTCGTATGCAGCTGCATTTGAAATGAAACTACCTGGAGACCTCCATTGCACGAAGGATGTGATAACATTGCCCTGTGTGCGAGGCCTGCCGTCAATAGCACCGACCATCTTTCGTTAGGGGAAGGCACCTGATTAGGGAGGGCAGCGTTGCTCGAGCAGTAACTGCGATCTTCGCTCATACGAGAGTTGTGGCGTGCACTGGCGCATGCATTATCTTGACAGATAGCAGAAAACGGCTCATAAGCTTGCTGTGCTCCAACCACTTATTCCGCGTTGACAAAACACACAATTTGCTACGAAGGCCGCTTCATTCTCTTAGGCAGCCAAACTAATTTATTCCAGTGTTTTGTTGAGTGTCGCCAGTTATGATAAAAATGAATTAGCCCCTAGCCTTACATTCGATAGCATTGAAATTATTTTTATCAAAGTTATTGCTTCGCTCTTGTTTTGAGATGCTGAACCTCGCGTGTCAATGTGGCACCCTTGTGACAAAACATTGTCATTTTCCTTTTTTTGATCGCGCTTACGTGTATGTTTCTGCTTCGAAGTGTTTCATCGCTCAGTGTGCTACTGTTGTTTGCGATGGGCAAGTTGTCTGAGACGCACTGCAACACTAGCTAGAGGTCCTACAAATAGAAGTTTTCTTCTTTGACATCAATCACAAGGTAATGAAGTTGGAGTGTTATGATGTGCTTTTTATGGATGACACACCCGACAAGTGCAACGAAGTTTAGCATATGTGCAGTGCTGACACATTGTCATGTCAGTCCGTCACATATATAGTCAAAATGTGATCTTAGATAGCCACAGAAGCTGTCCGAAACTTATATTGTACCTACTTGATCAATAACGTTTTGATTTCGTGCATCATCGTTTTGTTGCGCAAGGCCTCACGCTTATGTGCATAGGCTTACTTGCTCACGAGTTTCCGTCTAAAATGATATATGGCTGGTATGAAGAAGTTGGGAGGGATGACATCGACAGATATCTTTTTAACACATTACTGTTACGATGAGGCGTGTTTATTCGAAAACGAATGTCGAAGGGTAGCCGCGCCGACTCCGAGCTGCTTCCAAGCGGACCACTTCAATCCCCTCTTTCTTCATTCACACGTTGCCGCTTCAGCTTAACATTCCCCCTTTCCCACGTGAAGCCCCCTGGGCGAGCATCAGTCACGAGGATGAAAGCGCTTTAGGCGGGTTACGTGAACAAGCTGCGACTGCCTAGAACGGTAGCCGTGAGATACGAGACGAGCGATTAAATATGTCACATCATTTTGCTATCGACGATGAAAAAAAGACCGGTGTAATGAGCCGGGAACTTCTGCTACAGGCCACGCTTGCGAAAGGGCGTTCATAGCCATGGTTTTTCTCCTTTTTCGTAGGACACGTTTTTGTGTCGTGAATCATAGGCGAACTTGGAGTGGTCTTGGGATGCCAACGTACGGAGCTGAGCTAGGAGATGTGCTTCCTCCGTGCAGCAGAGAGTCTGGGCAATGGAAGAGTCTTCATGTGCATGAAAGCGCAGAACGGTGTCAAAAAAAGTGGTGGAGTGGTCTGGCATAACGAAGATAGAATGGACTTTAGTCAGAGGTTCCATGCTTTGCCGTGTTATAGGCATAGGTCAATAAATGGCAAGATGTCATCCCGGTTCTTGTCCCTGGAGCCAACGTACATGGAAACCATGTTGGTAAATCTTCTGATGGTGCGCTTGACGAGACCATTTGTCTGCGGGTGATATGGGGTCGAGTGGTGAAACTGGCAAGCACAAAGAAGCAAGAGTTCTTCTACAACAACGGCTACGAATTGTCGACCACGCTCACTCAGAATAATCCAAGGCAGTCCATGGCGCAGTATCACATAATAGAGGAGGAACCTCGATATATCGACGGCCATGGCTATTGGTAGTGCTTTGGTTTCCACATAATGTGTCTTGTGGTAGACGTGAACTATATTCCAAAGAGTTCATTTTTAAGGTAAACAGCGCAAAAAACAAAGACAGAGAAGTAGGAAAATAAAGGTTCCGTCTTCCTACTTTTCTGTCTTCGTTTTTTGCACTGTGTACCTTAAGAAATGAATTGTTACGAACTTGCCCAATTTTCAATACTACTGAATCCAACGGTTGTTGTTCAATGAGCGCGGAAATGGACCGAGAAGATCCACTCCAATGATTTTGACAGGAGATGAGGGTGACGTCAAGGGGTGGAGGAGACCAACCAGAGTAATGCTTGGTCGCTTGAATTGCTGGCATTTATCACAACTCGCTACAATAGTTTCGGTATTTCGTCGCATGGTAGGCCAGTAGAATCGAGGCAGCCGGTGGTGGTATGTTTTGGCGGACCCCAGGTGCCCCGCTCATGCGTCGTCGTGCATAACATAGAGTACGTGCGTTCCCAAACTCTTAGGGACCACTAAAAGAAGCCGGGCATCATCAGCCACGTATTTTTTGGTGAAGGAAACCATCTCGGAAGATGAAGCCATGGTTACCTATCAATTGAGTGGCTGAGTCAAAGAGATATTTCAAGCTGCGGTTGTTGCGCTGTTCTTACCGGAAGGTGGCGAGGTCAGGAAAAGCAGTATCGTCGATGGCAGGTAGAAAATCGTCAAATTGTCAGCGTCACCTAGAATAACTTGCAGAAAAATCCTCGAGAGACAGTCGGCGTCTGCAGGAGGGTGGCCACTCTTGTAGCAAATTGTAAAGTTCAATTCCTGCAAACGTAGTGCCCATCGCGCGAGGCGATCAGAAGGGTCACGGAGACCAACCAACAAACATAGTGAATGGTGCTAAGTCAGGATCGTAAAGTGCCGCCCGTAGAGATACGAATGGAACCTGTGCACAGAAAAAAAAACCGCAGTGGGGCACTCTTGTTCAGTAACGGTGTAATTTTTCTCGTTCTTGCTCAACGAACGACTGGCGTAGGCGATGGCATGTTCGGCGCTGAGAACTATGCAACTTGCGTTTGTGTGCACCCTTGTCGTGGCAGATGGTTTGAAATGGCGCAGTATGATTCCAGACATGAGAAGGAATTTAAGTTCACAAAATGAGGTATCACTCTCCGCTGTTCGGATGAAATCCTTATCTTTGCAAGGCAGTGAAGTCAATGGGTAGGCAGTGTCAGCAAACTTGGGCACAAATCGGCGGGAGTATGAACAGCGACCAAGAAAACTCTTTAGTTTGCGTTGTGACTGTGGTTGTTTCAAACAGGTAACTACAGCAACCTTCTGAAGGTCTTGGCGCACACCATGTTTGTCTACAAGATGACCAAGTACAAGTGCTTCTCGCTGACCGAAGTGACATTTCTTGGAGTTTCAGGGTAAGGCAGCTTGTTCAAGGCATGCTATTACAACGTCGAGTCGATGGTTGTGTTCAGCAAAAGTGTGTCCAAAATTGACGATGTTGTCGAAGTAACATAAACGAATCTCCCATTGAGACCACGCTGTATCGTGTCCATATTCCTTTCAAATGTCGCAGGAGCGTTGCACCAACCAAACCTCCGGACATTCAGTTCAAACAAGCCATCTGGTGTGACAATAGTGGTTTTCTCTTTGTCGACGGCATGTATAGGTACCTGCCAATAGCCCGATCGGAGGTCCACAGATGAGAAGTAAGATGCCGAATGAAGACAGTCGATAACGTCGTCTATACGGGGAAGCAGATACACATTCTTTTTCATCACCGAACTCAAACACCGGTGGTCGACGCAAAACTTCCAGGACCCGTTTTTTTTCTTCACGAAGGCGACCGTTAGAGCCCAGGGGCTAAACGAGTCTTGGATGACGCCCTTAGCCAACATGTCTTCCACCTGTTCGACGATCACCTTGTGCTCCGATGCAGACACATGGTATGGTTTTTGCCCTATTTGATGCGCGGACCCCGTGTCAATCCTGTGGCGAGCCCGCGTATTGGGAACACAAACTTTGGTAGCGTCCTGGGTGAAATCAAACAATGAAGCATGCCAGCTAATGATGCTCACCAGGACTTGACGCTTCTCAAAGGATAGTGCCTTGCTAATCATGCTCAAACACGGCAAAGAGTCTTCAGGGACATCAGGAGTAGTGTCGTGCGCACAGGATTCGTTCGAGGCGTCATTGCTTAAGGCTTCGATATTAAGTCTCGTATCCACTTCAAACGAAGCAAGTCGCATACCGCTAGGAAGCACAACAGACTGGTTAGATAAATTTGTGCCACTGGCCACACAGGCAATACAGCGAGGCACGAACCCACCCTTTTTTTTCAACAACTGAAGGCATCGGCTCAACAACATCGTCAAATACATCGTTGTCGGCACTAACAAAAGTAACCTGAACGCTGGATAACGAATAGGGCGGTACGATGGAATCTTCACAGACGGCGAGGGTGAGCGAACAGGTATCAGGTTGGTCGGCAACAAAAGGAGACACAAAAAGCTCTCCAGTACCGCAATCAAGAGTGGCACCGCACTGTTGCAGGAAATCTAGACCCAGAATCACATTACGCGTTCATTTAGTTAGCACCGTGAATTCGGCTTGTAGACGTTTTCAGAGAAATAGACGTTCGCGGTACATATATGAAGAGTTCGTAGCGATACTCTACTCACAGATCAAAATATCTCGCATTATCCTACCTGAACATCACCTTACGGCTTAATTGGGTTTTGAAATCTATGCTGATAACGGAGACGCTTCCGCGTCCACTAAAGCTGTTGTTTTAACATTGTCCCCCGAAACACAGATATTGTTATGACGTATGGTCACTGGTGGAGGCGTAGCGGAATGTAGCTGAAGATGACTGGCGACCTCACTTCCATCGGTCGCACCGCCTACTTTCCCGGCGACGGTGAATTGGAACGTCATCGAGAATATGGGGATCTTCGGTAGCGTGAAGGTGGTGGCGTAAAGCTCCACACAGATTCCGGTGGGCCACTGCAGTGATTCACCGGATGGTTTGGCCTGCTGTCAGAGTCCGAGGGCAAGGATGTCTCGTCAACGTGCTAATATCCGCACCCGTAGAAAGTGCATGGTCGCCCATAGGACGGTGCTGCCTTGCGACGGTGATCGGGGCAAAATCGGGTGACATGACCATGGATGCCACAGTGAAAGCATATGGGATGTTTACGAGGTGCGCTGGTGTCAGCAGAAAGATGGATGGTGCGGTCGTTTTATGCCTGATAAACGGTAGGTGGTCTGCGTGCGTAGTGGTCATACAATCGGTAAAACGGACGCATAGTTTGGCTTGGCCCTCGAGGACGATGCGTATAGTTGTAGGCATCAATAGAGGCGGCGTTGACAGTCGTAGCGCTGAAGTCACAGGCAGGAAAGGGCTTTCGGACATTAGGTGCCGGACGAGAAGGCGCCTCACGTAGGTCGAGCTCTTCGCGCAATACATGGTGAATGAAGGACGCGATATCCAATGCGGCTGGATGCACGTCGACGCTGGCGATATTAGTAGCGTTGGGCAGGCAGCAGAACTTTGGCGTAATTCACCGCGCTTTCAGAACTTCAAACATACGGCAGTTCTTGACGACGTCACTTACGCACTCCAAACTTTCTTTTGTGATGAGTAACTGATAAACGTCCCCCGAGATCCCTTTTAGAAGATGACCAACCTTGTCCTCTTCTGTCATCCAGGGGTCCAGTGGACTGCACAGTTTGATCACCTCCTCGATATAAGTCGTGCAGGTTTCCCCGGGCACTTGTGCTCATTGCATAAGAGTTTGCTCGGCACGCTTTCTCTTCACTGCCGGAGCCCCGAAGCACAACTTGATTTCATCGACGAATTTCTCCCACGTCGTCAGGCTTTCTTCATGGTTTTCAAACCATGCGGATGCGGTTCGTTTGAGAAAGATTCCCGTACTGTTTAACTGGCCGGTGGCATCCCCGCCATCAAACCGACTCGCCCGCTGGTAGGAGCTGAGCCATGCGCCGACATCTCCCCAGCTTGTCCAGCTAAGGATAGGAACTGGTAGTAAGGCTGCCACGGAATGCGGGAAGCAGGTGGCTAGTTGTCATTGTTGTCGTGAGACGCCATCGCAGGTGGCAGACCAGCAAGTTGCCCACTTCGGCGAAGCTCCACGTATTGCGCCTCAGCGGTCGATGAGTCGTCGTTTGTCTGGGGCGCCGTTATCGTACCCAGCACCTCTCACCGAAAACTGCTATGATGGGGCCTGTTTATTTAGAAACGAATTGTGAAGAATAGCCGCGCCGACACCGAGCTGCTCCCAAACGGAGCACTTCATTCTCCTCTTTCTTCCTTCATACGTTGCCGCTTCAGCGTAACAATATACAGCTGATGGACCGCTGCGGTGGTTTAGGGGTTAAGGTACTCGGCCGCTGACCCACAGGTCACGGGATCAAATCCCGGCTCCGGTGGCTGCATTTTCAATAGGAACTAAAACGCTGTTCTCCTGTGTGCTCATATTTAAGTTCACTTTAATGAACTCCAGGTGGTCGAAATTTCCGAAGGCCTCTACTACGGGATCTCTTTTATACATATGGTTGTTTTTCCACGTTAAACCACACATATTAATCAATAAACTGCTGAAGGGTTGTTGTATACAGCTCCTAAGTGTGTTCAAAAACTGTCATAAATTGCTCTTCAGAGTCCGAGTAACGCCATTTTAGCCAAAAATGAACGAGGATCCTCGGGGAATAATTTTTGGCATTATAAGACAATTGGTTGGCTATAACAAGCATTCCACACTCCCGACTATTTTGCAATTATGCTGCGTGCATTCGTGGTATGCCATGTTTAAGAGATCGCAGTTGTGCAGTTTCAGAGAAAGAGAAACCTGCTGTTCGCAGCCTCAGGGATTTTATTGAGGTGATTAACCAGTACCTTTTCAGCACACTAATCAAATTTGTGAACTGAAGCATAACGTCGAAGAATGTATCAGTGAACAAGTATGGCCGTGTGATTAAATAGACGCTGCTGTCGTTGACGGCACTGTACGTTACGCAACTATTCTTACACGGCTACCTAAGCACAGTGAGCTATTTAACCATCGAAAATGTGCGTTTCAGGGGCCGTGGAGTGTGACATTACGGGAGCAGTGTTTATGAATAGAAATTGATAACTTGACGATTGCTACGATATGGCGAACAAGAACCTTGGGGAAAACCGGCAAACGGAGTAAAAGAACAGGACATATGAAAGAACACAGCACAGCGTTTTCTCCATGCTTTTTCGTGCCCTGTTCTTTGTGCTGCTCCCCGAGCAAGTTGTCAACCAACCGACTAAAACACGCACGTTTCTGCAAAAAAGAGCCGTGGCAGTCAGTGCACTAAAGTCAAGGCATGCTACGAAAGCGTATGTATTATACAGGACATCAGATACAATAAATGTTTGTTTGTTTTTACTCTGCGTTCTTGCATTTTAAACGATGTTTACTGTAAACAGCTTGATTGTAAGATCCAATTGAAAACTTACGCCCTTGTGTAAGCAGGATAGACCATGAAGGGTAGAACATTCTGATTAGTTGCAGTCCATAGTGAAATACCACATCCCAATGCAGAAAACAAGGTAAACGTTCCCAGCCTCAACATTTTCCATCTGGAGAGAAATCAACAGAGATATCAAACGATGAGTGGAGAAATCATTAAATGATGTGAATCTATTTATTAACACACGGCAGGATCGTAATATTTGATAAGCTATTTAACGAGAAACTCATGTCAATCGCCATTTCCATTTGTTGTGCATCAATAAATCATCTATATTGACCTCCGCTCGCATTTGATGTATATTCTTGGTTTCTAACACTTAAGAGTGACAAACTGCAGATTTTTCAAGCCAAAAATGTTTTTTCCCCACAGACGCTTTGGCAGTAATATCTTTGTGAGTTTAAAAACTAGAAACAAGCGTGATATTACAAATCTAGTTGTTGTCATCAAAGTTACATACACCAAATTTTACGACGTCAAACGAGAACACCTGTCTGGCGTTACACGCACAACTTTAGAGGATATTCGTCAGAACACCATGGGCACTTTGGCATTTCAGGGACACTTTGCGCATACACTTTCCTGTGAGGTATAGAAAAAAGGTCATTTTCTTCTAACAAATTGAAGTGTTGGTTTACCAAAGATTACGCATTGTAAAGGTACTTTAAGCCCATCATGTGAAAAAAAGAATTCAATACCCGCGGTAAGTAAGAATATTGGAGCCCATTTATATTTTGATAATTCTTTTCTCGATACATTTTCATACAGCAGCCTAACTACAAAGTTTTCGAAACTATTATGCTGTTTTGTCATGCTGCACAGTGCCTTACATGCTCCAAGAGAGATAATAAAATGAAAGAAAGGCATGGAGGTGAAGCAGAATCGTAGCACCTGCTTTCGTACCCAGCAGTAAGGGTAGAGGCGGAGAGAAAACGAGACGCGAAAAAAATAAATAAATCGAGCGGAAGTTCTATAACTGTTCAATAGGCCTACACACGAAAAAAGGTAAATAAGGGCTCGATTAATGTGCCGTGCGTCGGTGGTTCATGTCGGCATTCGTGCACTGACTGTTCCGACAAGGATCTGTCATTACGGCTGCCTGACACAGCAGTGAGTGGCAGCCTTACGTGCTTACTTTTTCAGTACCAGTAGGATGAGAAGAGAAATGACGAAAAGCTGGAAATCAGCAGACAGGTACCATAGATGAACTAGCTTTGTCTGAAATAAAAAAAGCACATATGTATCACTGAAATAGAAATTCATTGGACAAAATTGGATGTCGCAATGTCTTCTTATAATATGAATGAAAACAGAACTATGGAAAAGCTGAAATCGCACACGCGTGTATGGTACATTATAAATTATAATTACCAAACGCAGCTGTAAAAAGCTGAAAGAGGCATTACTGTCACTCACGAGTGAATCCAATTCAAAGACGTAATAGTTTCGCCCGAAACGCAAAAGAGTTATAGAGACTGCAAAGAATTTTCTGACTGGAAGCAAAGTACAAAATAATCGTCCGTTTTAATTCTGCTCTACGCTGCCTTGGTAATTATATTTTCAATTGTGGTTTGATACGCACACTGCCAGACGTAGTAAATTTATGCTCTATTACCAGAGCATTCACTATAACCACGCTGGCGTCATGAAGAGCATCGGCATCGGAAAGGTAATGCTCCGTACAGCACCTCTTGGGTATGTGCGCTGTGCGAAACAGAAAATAAGGAGGCTGCGGTGAGGGGGGGGGGGGGCGAACATGGCTATACGCACTGTTTTCTATTGGGGTGGGAGCGTGGTTGTATTGCACTTCCCTGTACCCATTCAATGCTTCCAAAACACCACATGCTTCACAATGACTGAAAAAAAAAAATTTGAATTGATAGTGACAATCTTACACCGACCTGCCTTGGGACAATGGCTTTCCGGTAGTCAAGATTGGAAGCAAACAGCTTTTGAAATTCAACATGAGATGCCTTCAGGTTTCATTATTTTGCAGAACCTGCGTTAAAAAACCTCTGACTGCACTCTTCGAAAAACAGCTGTACCGAGTAATGACATGGACAGACTGTGGTTAATCAGGGGGGAAGGGGAGTAGTGGTATCCACCTACACTGTGCCCCTGGCGCACTCGCGTAGGCATGGGAAGACAGCCCTGGTGCAGCCAAAAGTTACTTGTATTCTTCGCACTCTCTCAGGGCCTACCCAGAAATATTTTTCAGGATGTGAGAGGTGGGAGAAAAGGTAGGTTTACACTTCTGGTAGGCTCGTGTATGTGTTTGTGTGCGTCCATAAATATCCGTGAAAAAATGCACTATTTCAGGGGATCCTACTCTCTAAAATTCCACCTCTCTCCCCTGGCTACGGCAGTGCACTCTTTCCATGTCACCTACAACAATACCAGTTAGACATCGGGCAATTTCTCCACATAAATTCAAAACATAGCTCTTCTTGGTAGCGCTTTTTTCATGGCGGATTTTCTCCTTGTGTTTGAGGTATATACTTATGCGTTTTTTGAAGTGGTACACTGCACAACATTCTGCTAAGGCAAACTTCGAACCATTGTATGTCAATATCTAACAGTTAGTGCCGAAACACCTACGTGGCCGACAAATTATCGCCAGAAGTGCTGTGATCGGCACTAGATATTATTGTCAATGGATCAATAGGAATTTCAAGCACTCATCATTCTATGCTGGGGAGGAAGGCATGAGGAATGCTGATGGGAAGTTTCAGAAATCATGTTACAGATGCAACTTTGACATGATGCATACCTCTTCGTTCATCTCTCCACACCAATTTCTTATCTGCAACAGCAGAGTCCACCAATTTTCTGCAATCTCTTTCTCATACTTCTCAAAGAACCTTCCGGTATCCGGTCCACTCACGTAGCGCGGAACCACGTATATGCACATGAGGACAAAGAAGAGTGGCACACAAGTCCTACAAAAATAACAAATAATGACAATATATTACCCGTTTTCTCTTCTGCGAGGTTGTATTGAAAGCACATCTTTTTTTAAGAGGCCGTAAGAAGCTTGATAATATGTTCGAAAAAAACCATCACGAATGGATAATATCACAGGACAAATATATTGCAAAACTATTTTTTTCAATTCTTCCCTACGCGGAGTTATAGGCAGTTCAATGTGTCCGCCGCATTACACGTGAGCGCCTGTTCCCTTGCGTCTCCTTTCAGCGGCACAGCCAGGTGGGGGCACACTTGGTCCGTGCCTTCACAATTTTTTTGCCATTATATACAGATCGTAAAACGACCATTTATTTGCCTAGCTTAGACATCACGTCAAGGTGGAGCCAAAAAAACATTTCTGCTAACGCCCCTGCTTCCACTACGGGTCTTAAAGCTAAACAAGCCAGGCAGAAGAGGAGGGGTCATTTACAGTGGGGCAACAAGACGACATTCCAGCAAAAATCTGCGAAGTACAGCAATCACTGATTGACTGTATTAACCAAACTTGTACTTTTACAATAATGTGAACAATAAAAAAAAAACTCGTGGCGAATGCACGAAGTCAATGACGATGTGTGAGCAAAGGAATAGGGTCGTTCGATGATACTGTAAACCAGCCGTGTCATTGACCATTTACAAATTTAACTGAGTAACAAAGCGCTGTACAGGTATATACAATGATTATTTGTCATAAAGACTACCTTGTGTTGAGATGTGAATTTCGTTTTGCCTTGATTCTTACTGCATCCTTTGTGGTATTGGATCCTGAATTTGTGAAATACTAGGAATGTGCATGTTCGCCCGGTGGTTGCTGTCTCCAGTCATACGAATTGAATTGTAGAGCATAACAAAAATCATACCCTGCACGAGTCAGTAATTGTCCGTTCATAATCGTCTTCATCATGGCGTATATTGAGTACCTTGCATGTGGCGGGCCGCAATGGCAGAAAGGTAATGCGTGGTCTGCAATTCGCTTGTTCCCTATCGTCATCAGCGTATTCTCATGAGGGATAGCGGCGCACTTCAGTGGACCCTGAGGAGCCTGGTCCCTAATAATTTTGAACCGGCAATCGATATCTTTAAATCGACATGATGTTACAGGGGTGCTACTATGCAGTCATTGGCATTAAGACCACTCATACCAACGTCTTCAGGTACCAAAGCAGTGAATAAAACATGACAGCTCCATCTGGCGGCATCACACCACCGTATGGCTTCAATTGTTGCATCGACTGCCCCCGCATCCTAATAGCCCCTCTAAGATGTTCCCGAAAGATTCTATGCTTATCTAAATGCTGAAGAACCTTTTTAATTATTCATCATACACTATTTATTTTGCTACGTGGGCTTTTTGCCTTTTACTCATAAATAAACACCGTTTCAAGCCAGTTAGAGAAGGTTAAGGTAAAAGCAGACCCTTTAAATTTGCCGAACTGAGTAAATGATACCGTAGGTATTTTTCTTTGTTTCTCTGCTTAAGTGATAGGTGCTGGTAGTTGCCTACATTTTTATATGTAAAAGTTTTTCATTTCTCATAACGTTCGCTTGGAAAAAATTACGTGGCTAGTGTCGACGCGTTCGTGACCCGTCAGAAAAGGGCAAAATTCTGCTAGGCTGAATTCCTGGACCCACGCATGAAGCTACTTCGACATTAGTGCAAAAACTCACGTATTGGTTTTGTTGCTGTATACTAGCTCCATACCACCAAAAGTTTTGTTCATTTGGTTCATAGTTTTTTTTTGGGGGGGGGGGGTGTGCGAGGGGTAAGACGTGGCAAAAACGAATCGAAAGGGTTCAGAGTGTGTCTCAATAAGTGAATATTTTGCGCATACAAACTATATATTATAATTTCTTGGAGGGTTAGCAAGTACACAATAATAATATATAGAGCTTCCGGGGTCAAAAAATACATGAAAAAGCACCGACTGCTGTTGAGGTCAGGACTCCGATCATGCTGCATCAAGGCTGTTCCGCGTTCCCGAGGATGCTCTCAAGAGGAGCACGAAAAAATTGTAAGAATATCCAAGTCAATAAGCCACTTACAAGCATGTCTTGTAATCAATCAATTTTCAATGAGATTTTTTCACACCAAAATTTCAAATAACAAGTGATAAAGAATGCCAAGTTTATTGCCTCACAAAGCTGGGCTGATGAAGTTCAAAGCCACGAAAGGCCGCGCAGTTCTGCATTAAATTGACAAAAGGAAGGGAACGACATGCGTTAAAGCATATATAACCTCTAATGATTGAATATTATTGTCGCGTACTTGCCACAAAAGACGATGGTAGTTGTGTATGTGCCATGAAAGACTATGAAAAGGATAAAGAAGGACACCTTGCTTGGGCGTTTGGACAAAGAGGAAGAAGTGATCGCTGCGTCCAAGGCTTCGCTGTCCAAGCCTTCACTGTTCGGCAAAGTTCTGGTACACTTCTAGGGAAATGTAGTGTTGTAACCCGCGGTTAATTGTATTTCTGTTATTTTCCCAGTTTGAGCTTATTGCGTTTTAGGTATGACTATCTTGATGCCTGTGTCATCTCCGGGATAGAGGGTTTACCTATGGTCTGCTTCCACTGCTTCACAGGATATTCCACTGGATTTCTATCTGCGGAACGGCATCAACAGTGTTCCTGTAGCTGTGATGCCAATGAATGGAGGAATTATTCGCAGGAAGAACCCCAACGTCATTGCGTATGAGCTTCGCATGGTGACTCCTCATTATCTACGGATAACTGAGGTACGTCAGTTTGTACGTGGTGGCATCCCATGCTGCTCTCTCGACAAAGTCTGTTTAAAGGACCTTCTAAAGTGTAGCAGTTCTGCCCATCTTCGGTGAGCTGTTTCATTTCCCTCACCTGGCGTGTTGTAAAGGTATAATTTGTGGAGTAAATGTCAGTTTGTCTACAGTGTAAATCTTGGATATTTTCTCGAAAGCAGGTGTTGTGTCCGTCTATAGTTGCAACAGGCTTGTCAATAACGTGACGGTTCCTTCCGAGACAGTTATCGCCACATTGGCCGGGACATCGCGTCCTTCAGAAATCAAGGCCTGGCCTTAAAGCTATCCAGTGAAACCGCTTTCCCATGCCCTCTTCAATGTGGAAAATGCTGAAGGTATGAATATAGCATGAGCGGTTGCCGTTTTAATGTTTTAATATCGCATTTGGTTGCAAGTCTGATAAGGAGTTGTGTTGCTTATGAAAAGCCAATTGGAAAGCCGATCATTCTGACTGTCCTGCTTCATCTAAGGAAGTGCAAGTAATTGATATAATTGAAAGAAGGTGTTGCTCGCGCAGGGATGTTCCAGCAGAAGTGCACAACAGGACTCGAGGATATGCAGGAGTTACAGCCCAACTGCATCTCGCTATGGGTGCGTCTATGGCTCAGACGATTTCTTCACTCGTGGAGAAAGCGGTGGAAACGTCCCTTGAAACAATGTTTCTTTATATATCTGAGACCTTGGCTCAAGTTATTTCTTCACAGCTATCTGGTATATTGAAGCAACTATCCAAAAGCTTGCAAAATCCTATCCATCAAAATAATTCAACACCCGGATCTCAGTAGCATGCTCTGAGTGATAACAAGATTCGACCTACTAACTCATAAAAAACTAAACAAGACAATCTGTTTGATTCCGTGTCGTAAAATATTCAGGATATAGAGATAGATGCTCAAATCCTTAAACATACCCTATCCTCGAACAGCGATCAGAGTTGTTATCCGAAAAACCAAGAAAATTGTGAAAGGACCTTGGACAAAGAATGATTTTTTAAAGGGGTGGTATTTTGAAACAAGCAGTAACGGCTGCTTGCCTATCATGAAAATAGGTTACCTTACAGCCCTTCAGTGTAACGGGCGTTTCATAATTGCCGTGATAAGAAAACTATTATACCTTGAATCTCAATCTTGCGATGTTATTAGTAATACAAGAAACTTGATTATCATCTGAAAAAAAAATATTCATTTACAAAATTATTATTGTTTTCGTTTGAGTAGGAATACACACGAGGAAGGGGGAGCATTTTGTATATCATCCAAATTTTTTCCTTGAGTAAACCTTGTCTTGCGGGCAATAATATCTGATTACGAAGTTCTAGTAGCGGAACCTGTACTTCCGGGCTGCGCGGCACTTACTTTCGTGAACAGCTACTTTCATACTGGAGTGAAAGAAAAAAAATATTCTAGACTCCATTCAGAGTTTCTGCAGACCTGCCACATTATATATGGAGGAGTTTAATTCACATCAGGTAACATTGGAATTCCGCACGAACGCATCAGGCAAAATTTTGTGGAACTGGATTAGTAAAAATGACTATCCATGTATAAATTTTGAGGAACACACATTCGTTCGAGTTGATGCCAGATCTGTGTCATACTTGACGTTTTCTAGCGGTAGCCTTTCGATTTCCTTTCGGGCAGTGGTTGATACTGCCACTAATACTGATGACTGCCCAATAGTGATTGACATCAAATAATTCTTAGTCACATTGAATTGTCCGACTCAATCTTTCGTAAACTACTCAGAATTACAAAAAAAGTAAACAGTGAGCTTTGGCATGTCGCAATAACTCTGAAACTCACAATAAAGCTATGAGACGGAGTTCGGTTCTGAAACAGTCTATGAAAAACTGACAATTCACCATAGCCTCAACACAAGAGAAACCTTTTAAAGTCTGGTGAAATTCCGATTGTGAACAAAAGTGTAGGCGCAGAAAGGCTGCATGAAGCAAACTTCTCAATAACCAGTGCCCTTTTAATTGGAGCAATTATAAAAACGCCAAAGTTTTGTTTAAGAGAACTAAATCTACGGTGAAATCTCAACATGAGGAAAACCGATACGCATTTTTTTTCTAAAAGTAGAAACAAAAAAATCTTTATATATTTTTTAGATCTAATAAAATTATTTATTTATCAACATAGAGTTTGTAGCCCTGACCTCTGATGAATTGGCTGATTTTTTAATTGGAAT